GTGAACAGGTAAAAGAAGAATAGTAATAAAAATGAACATTGAAGGACATGGCCGTATCATGTTGTGAAGATTAATGTGAAGATTAATGGCGTAAAGAAAATGAGAACTTGAAGCTCATCGTGTAGAGACAGGGATTTACAGTCAGATGACTTGGTCCTCAGCCCCAGCCCTGCCCCAGCCCTGCCCCAACCGTCACCACCTCCCCCCCAGGCCCATCGTCCTTGACTGCAAAGGAGCACAGAAGTAGCCACCTCTTAAGGTTGTGTTGATGTGAAAAGCGTCTGATAGATGATCTGACATGTTTACGTACTCAACAATGGTGGTCAAAGCAATACAGACACAGATTAGCCGATCAGAAGACTTTTTTTAAAATTAAAGATTTATTTATTTATGCAGACAGAACTGAAGTACAGGCCAGAGGTGCAGAGGGCGAGAGGATTCACCAGAGACAGAGTGGGGAGCAGAACAGGCAGATCCACTGAAATATACTGCTGAGGGGAGCAGCAGGTCGGTCAGGAGAGGTCTGCAGCACCATGTGGGTCAGCTCCCTGGCTGGGGATTGAACTCTTGCTGCAGTGGCTGCGATAGCTTCATGGTGCTATGCTTTAACCCACTGGGCCACCAGGGTGGGCCCCAGAAGACTTTAAACATAAAGGTGCATGCTCTGAAGCAGGGCTGCTTGGTACATGGAGATGAAGGCAGTGCATTTAGAACATGCTGACAGCTAAGGATTTTCATGAAATTGCTTAATCCTCCTGCGCAATGGATTATATAATTCCCATGGTATGGGAACAGAAAGGTTAACTAACTTGGAATGGGTGTCTTCTCAAGGAGGAAGTACCGTTACTATGAGGGCACCCTCAAAACAGAACAACGGTCTTGCTCGGTCATAGGTAGCCAACTAAAGACCCTGCCAGAGCAAAATCATACTTGAACTAGGAATAGTGGCATCTCCTTTATAACAGACCCATTTCAGGAAACAACCTGAAATGCAAAAAATCTGGGAGTCAGTTTAAATAGGATGAAGTGGGAGCCCAGAGAAGATATGTGAAGGGCTGCACTGTAGAGCTGCAGGTAGAAGAGTATGTGGTTACTGTTGGGAGCATGAGGCTGCTGAAGGCCAGAGGGAAGCTCAGGAAGTCTATGCTGAGTAGAATGATTACCCGGCACAGAGATGCCAATCTCAATACGTCTACCACTATGAAGTAAGACTGGCAGTGTTAGTTCTACAGTGAAAAATGTGTCTAGTATTTACACACATCTCTAAGAGCGATCCTACCTGGTGCGTGGCATTATCATTTGGGTCTGTTGGAGAGAAAACTCAGGCCACGAGAGGTTAAGACTCTTTCCTTGTATCACACAGTGAGAACAGGAAAATACCTTGAAGTGGTCAGGCCCACAGGGTGAGGCTGCCGAATAAATCAGTCACCCTTCAGATTTGTGGACTTTGCTTAGGGACTGAGTGCTAAATTCAAACACCACAACCCTTTGTGTAAAGCCTTGTTGTCATGTCAAACTGCCCTTTATAGCCTGTTTCTAACATATTATGATGCGGAATGTGTATTTATCTGTTTCGTAATGAGATGTTGGTCACTGTCAAGTAGAATGGTCCCGTCATTCTCATGGTCAGGTTTTGGTATCTTATTAGTTACAATCAGGGAAAAGTAAAGGCAGTTCGGAGAAGCTCAAACTTATGATCTAGAAAGGGAAACAATAGAAAATATTAACAGAGTGCTGTAGGGCATGTAAGGTAATGTTTATATCTGTAAGTATGTTAAGTCGGCTAATTCCCAAACATTTTAGTCCTCTTGCCTTTCTGGATTAATTCTACATTGGTTGTTATGACCATACTTTTATTGAATTTTTAATAAAGAGCCTCTGATGCCCTCACCTGCCTCACTTATCAGTCAGGCAGCAAGAATACAAATGCAAAAGGGTATGAGGAATCAGAAGCCTTTCCTCCTGACTGTCCTTCTACTGCCTTCTTGTGGCAAAGCTAAGCATCATATTCACTGTAAAGGAGAAAAATGCAGAGTTTGATGTTAAAGGGTGCACCTGAATTTGAGAGCCAGTAAACTGATAATGGACATATCTACTATGCAAGTCATTGAATCATAAATAATTATTGAGTTTTATTGAGAAAGTTCTGCATCTATTTAAGGGACTATATTTGCCCCCTGTCTTCCTTTAAAGCAGTAAATTACATTGATGATGTTTTGGATAGTAGATTGGTCTCAAGCTCTGGGATAAATTCTATTTGATCATGAGTCATGCACTTATGTGTCACACACACACACAGATTGCTAGACGTGACATGCCTGTGTTTTATTTTGGGTATATGTTTTTATGCTAAACAACTGAAATTGATTGCTTTTTATTTCCTTTAGAGTCTTGTTCAGTTTGACATCAATCTTAATTCACAAAGTGACTGTGTCTTTTTGTTCTATTCATTGAAAATATTTTTTTTATTACAAAGTTTATTTTTACATCATTTTGCACATTTTTTTCCATCTCGATTGTAATTCATTGAAAATATTTTACAAAAGAATTATCTGTATGTGAATGCTTCTTACTACTTACAAAATTCTATCTGTTGTGGTTGTGAGGTGAATTTTGGGACAAAAACTTTCTTGGATGATTACTGTTTAATTCATTTAAAAAATTCTTTTTGAGTATATCTGATCTTTATTTATAGATTTTTTCTTCTTTTGTATTAACTGCAACTTTAAAAGTTATCCTCTCTTTCTCAGAAGCCACGTAGCACATTGGGTTTTGAGGTTTTTCTTTTTTTCTTTTTTTTTTAACTCAATCTTGTCCTTTGCAAAGATAGTCTTATCTTTGAAATTTGAGTGTTTGCAAATAATTAGCTTATAAATTTATTAAACATCTTTTTGTAACTTCGTTTTCTATTTCACAATTTCTGAATTATGAGTAATCCCATTTTACTTTATTTGGTTTTCCTTCTCCTCCTTCTTGTTTGCTCAATTTGGATAATTAGCTCGTTTTCTTTGCAGGCTTCTTTTTTCTAAATCATTCAAGGATATGAGTGTACCTCTAAGTTCTACTTTAGCTATCTATCCCACACATTCCAATACACAGTGCTTTGAAAGTCATTTTCTTTCAAGCAACTCATACATTTCATTGTTTCTTCTTTGATCTCATAAACTATTGAGGCATATACCTTCTGTTTTATTTATCTTTCTGTTGTCTTAGTAAAATATAATTTTCTAACTTAATGACATCTGCCTTTGGATCATGGCCTATGGTCGATTTTTGGAATTTGCTGATATATATTATGTATTTTACATCTATTTCAGTGATTTTAAAGAATGTGTATGTTCCATTTGTTGGTTATTGGGTTTCCTATATATTTATTAGATCCAGCCTTTTAATTGTCTTGTTCAAATCTACAGTCTTACTTTTGTCATTTTTTTGCTTTAACTTTGTTTTTTTTTTTAAGAAGTATTTTAAAATATTTTTACTGTGACTCTGGACTCTCCTACTTCCTCTCTAGTTCAGTGTGCTTCCCCTTGAAATCATGTTTCAAACAGCACACAGAAGGTCATGATTATTATACCTTAATGAGGGGTCATTCATTTTATTATTATTTGATGCCTTTCCACATAAGCCTGAGTTTTTTTGCCTTCATATTTATTTGCCTATTAATTTAAGCATGTTAGAGAATTTTGTCTCATTTATATCTGTTTCAACATTTTCTTCACAATATCTGTAATTTTCCTTACAGTATTATCTAGCAAAATATTTATTCTATTTTCTCAGTGTATAGCTCTAAACCTTATGATGCATATTTAAGGTGTCTAGCAAACCAAATTTTAATTCTTCCTCAACCAAAAATCTTGAAATAGAGTCAGTTCTGCCAGAATGCAATATATGAGGTCTTAAAGATTCCTCCACTGTGCACAATTGGGCTTATGAGAAAATGAGGTTGAAGCACAACACTCAGGAACTTTGCTGGTGACACACTGAAAAGGGAGCCACCCAACTAAAAACATCGCCTAATAAAATTTTACACAGAGGTCTCCTCCATAAGGTCCTGTAGAGTGAGCCTTACGGGGGTGAGACCTCTGGCAGGAATCCTTTCTCTAAGGTCTAAAGGTGGTACCTTCCTTTTCTCCCCCTCCATTGTCCTCACTGAAACTCTCACCATAGACGTATTTCCTTTCATTCTTAGCAATTGGTTGAGTATGCATACATGCTTGTGTCGTAGTCCTTTTCCTTCTGTTGTTTATGGACAATACAGAGACTGAGCAGTGAGTGGGGTAACTTATGTATTAATCCAAGGATCTGGGGTCACAGGATCATCTGATAGCTTGTTCCACAGTGAGTAATAGAAAAAAGAACCATTGAAGACAATCACGGTTCATGTAAAGCAGTTGTAATTGCCATGGGAAACTTCAACTTATTCCAACATAGAATCATCCAGATTTTGGCCTGGGCTTGGGCTGACCTAGCAACCTGGAGAAAAACAATAATGTGGATTATCCATCTTTCTTTTCTACCCCAGCTATGTCCCCTGGAACCTCCACGAGCCAGAAAAAGGAAAATTTGACTTCTCTGGGAACCTGGACCTGGAGTACGTGCTGTGCTGCTTCTGCCACTCACCTGGGGCCGGGAGAAGGGCCGCGGCTCCTGGGCTGGGGCAGGAATCATGG